ATATGACCCAGAATCCATTAGCAGCGGAGGACGTATGCAAATTCTCCACTTGACTAAAAACAGGATTATTCAAAAAAAAGGAAGAGTCTTGGAAATGTGTACATATATATATATATATCTTCTGATATGTGGTTTAACTTCATTATTGCACCATACTATCGCCAAGCTTATCAAAGAACGCCGTGTTTGCTGCATAAATCTGCTCCGGTCAAGTCAAAGGCATCAGTGTGTCTGCTGCATAATACACTAATGCTGAGGTCAAACACATCAAAACTGTTCTAAAGTATATGAGATAAAATAATAAAAAAAACTTACCCTGGGGTAACTCTGAGCAGTACAACCAGCAGACAGGATGTGTGGATGTGGGTCCTGTCTGTGCATCCTGTTTCCCTGAACTGTAGAAACATCAATTTTGTGCAAACAGCAGGCTCCTCGTGGCCACCAGAAACAGGCCGTTAGACAAGTATTAGCAGGAAAATAAACAGATCAGCCCCTCCTCGCTGTTCTAATCGAATCTTTGGTAATTTAACTGAATGATTTCCTCGTTGTAGGTTTCAGTTTTTAGCCACATCCTGGCTGTTATTTAAAAATCTGCTCCTGTTGTTTGTTGGCTGGTCGATGCTCCACACAACTAGTCCACTGGGTATTTTGTCTTCACTGAGTTTTTCCTGATCTGACAATTTTTTTTAAAAAAACTGTGAAAAGCACATTTATATGATTTCTTTTGGGGGAAAAAAAAGATGAAATTAGATGTTCACCAATCACAGATCATGCAAGGTGTTAATCCTGTAGCTGAGTTCGTTTTTAAATCGGAGCCTCGTTGATTTTTCTGTCTCAGATTTTGATTTTTCTGCCTCTCTACGAGTTGCCGTTGCCGACTCTGTCCCCGTCGCTGTGGCTGCTCCCCTCGTTAGCTCTGGCAAACCAATCATCGCTAGTTACCATATTTCTACTGCAGGAAAGTCATCGACAGAAACCGGATTTAAAACTCCATTATACAGTAAAACAAAACGAGATCTCACAGGTTTAATCAGCATCATTTGGAGTCATTTGGCAGGAGCTCGAATGTAATGGATGTTCATTTATATGTAAAAGTCCCACACTCCAGCTTTAAGTACTTTATCTAAGAGCCAAAACAAAAAGAGAGAGAAATTAAAATTTAGAAGGTCTGCATACCACAGATGATTAAATTGCCAGAAATTTCCATTTTTCCTTTTTCTTTTTTCTTTTTGCAAATCCAGCCCACATGATGCACATCCATTTCCCGGCAGTGATTTGTCACATAATGAGGGGGAATTTTGAAGCAGAGTGTTAGATGAGGAGATTAATACACATTTCATACTAAATATGAAGCTGCAACCAGATTCCAGTGAGTTTAGAGACACACATGTGCCGGAAATGTACGTTTACACAGTTTGTCATTAACGTACATCTTCTAAATGATCTAATAAACCACTGACGAATCCTAAATTACTGGTTTGCAACTGATGTAATACTTCCACCAGCTACAAAGTATGAAAATGAAATAATTATCATGTTACAGATGAGCCTATTAATGAGAAGTAAATCGTTTATAACCGTGATTACAAGCTACATTCTACTGAGCTTAAATAATGCTTAAAAGTGTGTACTTATTCTAAAGTGTTACCTTAAAATCTGCATACTGACACTAATCCAGACTACGTAACTCATTATATCTTCTTTAATAGCTGCACAGCATGAGACATGTTAGCTTCATATACGTTTTCTTTTTACTCTGGCATGCACTGTGCATACAGCTGGGACATACTACTCTGTAATAATGCTGCACTTTAAGCTTTGACATGTATTCATTTCAGTCTGCAGTGAAAAATGAGGTTCATCTGTCTGTGCGCTCTCAGCAGCTCCAGCTTGTTTATACAGCTGTGACTCGATAATCCGACACTAAATGTAAAACCTTCTTTTATGTCGGATAGCAAGGCTGTCGGATTGTCAAGACGGAGGTCCAGATACAAGGAGGGCTTGATGCTGGAAGGCTCATTAGTTGTTAATTATTGTTCATAGTTATAATGACCAGTAGGGCTGGTCCCAATAGAACTTTCTGCTCTCTGGATATTCCGGCCCAATTCATGATGAATATCAGAATATTCGGTGTGGTCGGGGGACACTTCCACCCCGGGGCAGCGCTCTGACAGGGTGGAAGTGTCCAGAACACACAGGCAGTACTTGGCTGCTGATGCTAGTTTAGTTAGCACTCACACTTCTGTTTCCACCATCGGTGGCGGTGGCGGCGGTGCCACTCCCCTGCCGCTGCCGCCGTCCATGTTTACACTGAGCACGCTTGCTGCGTGTGACGTCATCGTGTTCTCTTCTGTGCATGCGGGACACTTTTGGGTCGTATGAAGTTCACACAGCAGATCACATACAAGTCGCATTTAACTGGAAATGTGAAGGAACTCACAAAGAAATCCTCATTGAGCATCAAGTCCTGCAGTGTGAACGTAGCCAATCTGTGGGATTGTTCAGTCAGATAATACGCCGTTATCCTGACTGGTGACATAAAATGTCATGTTGGAGTCAGAATCCAAGGCTGTCGCTATGTTAAGGCTGTTTGTTAAGGGTTCTGTTTGTTTTTCCTAAAAACCTGTCGGATAGCAAGGTTTAGGATTGTTAAGGGTTGGATTATAGAGTCACGACTGTATGTTCATCAGACTCCATGATGCATCTTGTGTCAGACTGGAACGTGCAGTAGGACTTCCTGGTATTTGATACACTATACTATGTATTTGGACATAATAAATCTTTTCCTGCATATTGTATCGTCGTGTAGGCCGCTTGCTGTTCCATCCGTCTCCTGGCTTCGTACTTATCGTACCGACATCTGGAGCGCTATCGACCTTCTCCTCCAACTCTCGACAAGGAAGCGGATAAATATATTACTAATAACGTCCTTTGTTGTAACGTCTGTACTCCTCTTGTAACAGATGTACAAAGTCTATTCAGTATCAGCGTTGGGACCCTTTTTCTTCTTCTTTGCGTGTAATCCTTGAGGTTTTATTCCAAAGATATTAAAAGGTTTGTTCAAAAGCTTTGGGGCAAAGCACTCGAGTTAATGGTTAATTCAAGCTTGTTGTTTACTTAATTGTTTCCTATTGGAGAACACTATTTGTCCTTTTTTTTTTATCCAGTTAAATCAAATTAACACAGCTGCTCTCTAAGTGCACGAGTCCGAAGGATGATGCCTCTTGAATCGAATTGGACCATGAATAGGATAAGATGTATGTCGTCAAACCTGCTTACCAAGCCTGAGCTGCTCTTTCTTTCTTTTCTTTTCTTTCTTTCTTTCTTTCTTTCTCGTCTCTATTCTCCCCTGACTCACCCCAGAGGTCCACTGGACTGCTTCCAATAACGCTGCACCACATTTTCACACCCAGATGCAGAATATTTGCTTGTTAAAAAGATTTTAAAGTCACAGCAGATGCTCACTACTTAGCGAGAAGTTAACCCTTTACTGGGACGTCATCCAGATTCAGCATATTCTTCACTCTCAACCTTTTTTCCCTGCGAGCCAATTAAAACGTTCAGTGAAAGTTGGCGGATTCTGGCGTGTTAAATAGGACCGGTACAACTTCTTCTCGCACCACACGAACCGCTTTTGACTTTTTAGAAGGAAAGTTTGACCGAGAAAGGAAGAGGCTCGGTTATATAAAGGCAACTTTATGGACTGATTTTAAACATGATATGACTAAACTAGCCAATACTGGAGTTGTGTGATGTCTGATAGCTCAATAAAAGACTTACAGCCTGGAGACAACAAGGCTGCGTCTCAAGATTGGCCAATAACACTGCAAAATCAATGTTTAAGCTCAAAGGCAGTCTTTGGAAGATGCTAAAAGTTGTGATGAAATCAATACCTCAAGCACATTTTTTTTTTAAAGCCTTGCCAATCAATTCTGTGCCATATACACTGATTAAACAGTTTTTTTTTCTCCCCTGCAACATTGCAGCATGATACATCATACAGTAATGTGAATGACAGTGGGGTGTTGCTGGTGGTAGCTGCAGTACGCTCAGCAACTCATCTCACAATCAAAACCGCATCGGCAGCCTCGTTCACATTCATTCTGAATGACAGCATCAGAGCAAATTGTGTCTGGCTTTAATCTCAGGAGAAATATGTCTGGTGAATCTTGATGAAGGTACGTCTTTGCTACAAGCTCTTTAGATGCTCGTCTAATCAAAGCCGCTGCATGCCGCTAGCCCGCGGCTCCACCGTCGACAGCCCTCGGGGGATTAAAGCTGATTTCCCTTTTGGCCAGAGTCACTTTTGTGGGGGTCCAACTCGCTCTGGCGCCGGGTGAGAGGACTACCCTTGTCACTGATACCTTGCTTACTGTTGTTTGATGCTGGGCATGTCTCTGCGGCGCTCCAGCTCATCTATCACAGTAACTGTGAATGGCGTACGGGGACGGCAGAGGAACAGAGGAAGGCTACTCCCGACCCTCCCTCCTCTCACTATATACTTAGTAATCTGTGCCAACGCTGTTCCCTGAATGGAGAATGGAGACCTTGTGTTCTGAGGCTCCAGATGGGCAAAAATAACACAACACACACCACTGAGACTCTCCGGGGGAATGGAGGGTAAGAGTGTACGACAAACTAGGAAGACTGTGAAGATAATTCAGAAATGACTCACATGTAACCTGATAATAATGCCAAAGACACTCTCCTAATGAGGCAAATTAGAGCGTTTGATGCTTAAAACTGTTAATAAATAATAAATCGGCACGTTGGTGTAAAACTTTCAATTGATTTTTATGCTTATTAAGCCATGTTTTCAGGAGCTTTAATCCATAACATTACAAGGGAATTATAAAAACATCAAATTTAATTGCACATTGTGTATGTACAGCACAGTCTTGCACAAACAAACCACACACTTGACACAAATTGATCCAGCTGACAAAGGATACAGGCCTGTCTGTGGCAAGGAAATAGTACAAATCGTCAAACGCTGGCCATTAGCTGCACAGTTTATTCGCCTCGTACTCCGTGTAGTTTGGTTGTCTGGCACTGAAAGCTTGCAGGGCAGTGAGTATCCTGGTCACGTCTGCGCTGGACAGTTTGAGTCTGTGGCGGAGCAGACAAGCGAACAGATCCACGTGCGGGGCCCCTGGAGGCGAGAGGCGGTTAACCCTGTAGCGCAGCTCCACCAGCTGCAGCAGGGCCGAGTCCTGCGATCCCTGAGTGTACGGGTAGTCTATCTGCAGAATCAGGTCCTGGATCGCCTCAGGGTCAAAGTGCACGCTGTACCCGAACAGCTGCATGCTGTTCACTTTCATGTAGCCGATGTTGTTGGACGGCTCGGCCGCCTCCAGAGACTCGTAGTACAGCGTCACGTTCTTGTTTCCGCCCGTCGCTCCCACAGCGTCCCTGATATTACTCCTCAGGTAAAAATGAACCGTCTCAAAAAAGCTCTTCCATCTGTTTCCCAGAGTCAACGTCCAATTATAGCAGTCCAAGGGGATATCCAGCCTGGTCCGCTCCCAGTCGGGGTATCCGTGCTGACCTATAGGCATGGTCCAGCTCTCTGAATGGCTTCCTCCAAAGGGGTTCACAAACAGCGACAGCGCCGGCTCCACCGTGCTGTTTCTGGTGAGGCAAAACTGCAAGGTGAGTCCGAGGAGCACATGAACTCGGTTGGATTTCACCCGGTTGCTCTTGAGGGTGAGCAGCATCCGTTTCCTCCAGGAGGGATCGAACCAAGTGTTGACGCGCACGTCGTTGCTCACGAACACGGCGTGCAGAGAGATGCGAGGGTCACGCCGCTGCAGCAGGTAGCGCAGCTCCAGATCCTGCAGGTCTCTATCGCTCTCCAAACCCAGGTAGGGGTCGGTGGGGTCGGGCACGGCGGGCCGGCAGGCTCCCTGGGTCAGGGTGAAGCCGGGGTTACAGCTGGAGCATCGCGTTCGGTTCTCCGCGGAGCAGGAGGCACAGCGTGGACCGTCGCCCACTGAGCAGGGAATGAGGCCCTGGCAGGGAGGGTGGTTGTAGGGGCAGGAGCAGCTGCGACTCCCATCGCTGTAGACGCCGACCTGGTTGTTCTCACTGCAGTACAAAATGGAGAGAGCGTAGCTCAACCAGAAGTGCAGAGGCCTGAGGGAGAGACAACAAGTGTTTCAGTGCCGGTATCAGGTTTAGAGACAGCACGCTGCCGTATTGCCTATTATATAATATCTCATTTGTATTTGTCACTTTTCGTGATCATACAATAAAGGAAATGTTTTGCCCAAGAAGATTAATCCTGCCTCTGCTGTTGTTTTGATCTGCGGCAAAAACAATTTGAGCCAAACTCAGACTCAGCTGGAGTTACAGAAGCAAAATCAGATCAAAATGAATATTTTAATCTGCTGAGTTCTCCTTATGTGGCTTAGACGGGTGGCGATGATGCACAGGCTCACATACAAACAGATTCAGCACTCAAACATGTCTCAGAGCTTTACTGTCTTCTTCTGAGGTTTAGATTACTTCTGGACGCATAGTAAGTTACAATGCTTTAAAAAATTCTATTGTTTTAAAGGATAAATAAAAAAATACTAATATTATGCCTCACAGGGATACAAAAATAAAAAGCTGACTTAACCAGGTACTCTAAGCCACTATTGAATTTCCTTTTTTTACAACCACAAGGGGTGTGATAAAGAAGTGTAATTGGATCGCGGACCGAGGAGGCAGTTCTCGCGTTGGAGTAGTACGCTGATGGATTGTGTCATTTAGTTAATTTCCCTGCCAGAAATAGCTATCAACATGGAGTGTTCATGGGAGAGGAATAAATCTGACTGAAGTTATGACCACAGTGATGTGCGATAGGCCGCCGCAGTAGAACATCCAGGTGGAAGTGCTGCTGAAACAGCAGTAAAAAACAGTAACAGTAAAAAAGAAAGTACAAGAATATACAGTATATAAGGGACGTGCATTACCGTCCACAGCAGCTTTAGCTCCTGCATGCGGTTCTGATAAAATAAACGAACTATTAGATGAGAATTTTTAGGACGGCGGATTGATTGCGATGCGGTTTAAAGCTGCAGACGGTGAAACGTGTCTGTTTGGCCAAACACCATCCCGTTTGTCTCCCACCAGCTGGAACAGAGAAGCGGCTTTGCTCCTGTCAGCACTTTTCACCTCACTCCACAACTACTTTTCCTCAAGTGCCTTCTAATAAGTACCGTCTCGCTCTGCTGCTTTCTCTCATAGCCTGCCGCATAAATCATTCTCATAATTATAAGTTTTGGGGAGCACCTTGGGTTAACAGGCTGCAGTATAAATATTCCTCCCTCTTGTTCCTGTCTCGCTTCTTACCTCGGCCTCTGCAGGATTATTTTCGGATGTTTTCGGCACCTCTTGCTAAGGCTGAAGAGCTTGTTAGTGGTGCGGCGAGCTTTGGTGAAAAGCTGGTTGCTACTGGTCTCCAGCTGCCTGTAGCGCTGGAGCAGGCTGGCATCCGTCCTCCACAAGTGTTCCACGACAGATGTGTTTACAGCGTAATGGGCTGGCAGTTTCCCAACAAAGCTTTGGAACTCCTCTGATAGGAAGGAGAACATGAATAAGTAAACTCTGCCCGTGGCTATAAGCCGCAGGGTAACAATATCCAAAAAAGAAAGGAAAAAAAACAAAAAAAACAAAACAACAACAACTCTCAATTCCTCTTTGTTTGTCCCAGAAAATCAAACAGCTCAAGAGGAGCAATAAAAGGCTTGCCAAGAAAGTATGTTGTGTTATTTTGTTTGGAGCTGATCTCGTCAGAGAACAAACTCTTTTCTTTTAAAAGATGTTAGTCACACCTGTTGTCTGTCTGTCTGTCTGCCTGCATATACCTTTTAAAGAAACCGGCCTCTAATTAGACATGAGTGACACTGAAAGCAAAATTGCTGTTCCTGCCATTAACAGTGTGAGAGTAAGACAGGTTGCCATGGTAGCGGTAATCCATCCATCCATCCGGCTGTACCCGCTTATCCGTTAGAGGTTGCGGGGAAGGCTGAAGCTCATCCCGGCTGGCATTAGCCGAGAAGCGGGGTTAGAAACCGGACGAGTCACCGGTCCGTCAAAGCACAGAGGGCAGACAGCCGCTCACAATTCACACCTACGGCTCGTTTAGAGTCACCAATTAAGCTAATACGCACTTCTTTGTGCTGCAGACGGAAGCCGGTGACAGTGCAAAGCCCTGCACCACGATCAGAACCGTAATCATTGTGTCAAACCCAACAAAAAAAACATTAACGTATGTCAGGAAAGTTTGTCGTCGTTTTTGTGTTGATTTGAGGAAACTTTAGCAACCTGTCAGCGCCGCATTTGCATATAAGAGCAGCCGTCTCAAAAAGAGGCTTAATTAAAACTATTAAAAAGCAGTCAGTACCGGCAGCACAGAGGTCAAAGGTGCACGACTGCCTTTAAATGTCAGATCACCTAACAGCACCGTATACAGTCCTATAATATCAAAGCACATCGTTAGCTTTACCATCCAGCTGATTCGTGCCGTCACATTTGCAGCAAACACCCGTGTAAATTGTTGCGCAAATGCCAGTCGGGGCTACTAATCTTCTCCGCGGTGGTATTGTGTGTTTATGGTAATCACAGCAGTGTCTCCAAAACAATGCAATAATGCATTATAGCGTGCTTGGACACGGGCCAGGTTTGCTGTAATTGCGAGTTCATTTATTTGTGTAGATTCCCCCCCCCCGTACCGCTGAGGAAATAAATGTAAGAGCCATTAATGAGGAAAATACAGCGTATACTTACACGTGAGGCCTTCTGAGCCGGTGTCACACATCAGGGCGAGAGCTTTGAACTGGAGCCGAGTCGTAATTGGCATTCGGATTTCATAGTCATCCCCTTAACCCTTTTTGTTTGGACAGATTTATGCAGAGGTTGCTTTTTCATCACGAGAGGATTAAATTATGATTACTGTAAATTAATGACATGACTTTAAAGTAATAGTTTGACCCTTTTGGGGCCAATAATTAGCTTTGCTTTGCAGAAACAGCGGGAACGAAGCGGGGAAACAGCCAGTCTGGCTCTTTGCAAAGGCAGTGAAGTCTGTCTGCCAGGATCCGTCCTTGTGGCTCTTTATTAAATTTGCACCATCAAATTGCACCAAATGCTCTCATTGTCCATTTTGTTTGATTAATAAAGAACTAGATAATTGTCTGACAGGTTAAATTGCAATTGCTGAAGCTTGAGCTGTTGAATTTTATTTTTGAATAAGAAAAAAAAAAAAACAGACTTGATTGAAACTTTCCATTTCTGTGTTTTGTTTTTACCAATATTGCCTGCAGGCCGCATTATTATTATGCAATAATTTATGGGCTGCATTAGGTTTTTTCATACATATGTGAACATTATTCACTGACGTATTGTTTCTGTTTCAATCTGATTTCTTGGCTTTTTTTGTTTTGCCTTCATTTAGTGGAGACAGACAGAAAAATGTTGGAAAAGAGAGCAGTGGATCAACGTGCCGTAAAGGTCCAGGTCAGCCAGGAATTGAATCAGGGACTCACTGCTTGAAGGAATTCGCACCCATGTGGTTCATCCCCAGCTGCTCAGCTGTGGGGAACTGTTATTGTTGCTGTTCGGATTAAACCGCCTTCATACCTTTTTGAGTGTGACTGTGACCCAGAAGGTGTGTGGGTGTATAGCCACATCAATAGCGGAATTAAAGTAAAGATAACATTATTATAATAAAGTTTTAGACTATAACTTTATTAATGTCAGAAATATAGAGTTGCCTAGAAACTAGACTCCCCCGGCTGGCGAATGGTACAGTCCAACTACCAGCGCAAAATACCGAAATGGAAAAATAACATTTTTTTTGGTTCAAAAGTCTAATTGTGAAGCAAAAACCCAAAAGTAAACAATTAAAAATTTAAACCGAGGGAAGATTATGCACTTGCGAAGTAATCAAACAAAAAGGATAATAAAAGTTTTAATCCCGTTTTTCATTTGAGTCACTTTGGTTTATGCAAATTTGCACAAATAACTGCACAGAGCTGCAGAGACTCTACCTGGACCTCCACAGCTCACAAAGTTTCTGTTATTGCAGTTTGGTTTTTGTACGAAATAAACAAACAGAATACGATATTTCCTGTGGGCTGCAAGGTGACTCAGCGGTTAGCACCATTGCCTCACAGCTAGAAGGTCGCCGGTTTGTGTCCCGGTGAAGTTTGCATGTTCTCCCCGTGCAGCGTGGGTTCTCTCCGGGTTCTCCGGCTTCCTCCCACAGTCCAGAAACATGCTGAGGTTAATTGGTGATTGTAAATTGTCCGTAGGTGTGAATGTGAGTGTGCTTGGTTGTCTGTCTCTAAGTGTAGCCCTGTGATAGGCTGGTTACCTGTCCAGGTGAACCTGCCTTCACCCTGAGTCAGCTGGGATAGACTCCAGCCCCCCATGACCCTAGTGAGGATTAAGGTACAGAGATGATGGATGGATGGATAATAAAAGTTTTAATCCCGTTTTTCATTTGAGTCATTTTGGTTTAATTTGCACAAATAACTGCACAGAGCTGCACAGACTCTACCTGGACCTCCAACACATTTCTAATATTGCAGTTTGGTTTTTGTGCGGACTGAACAAACAGAACACGATATTTCCTGTGCATCTTTTTCGCTGTGTGCTGCTTCACGGCGCTTTAATGAGAACAGACGGACTTGTTAAAAACTAAAAGCAGCCCTCAGCACATTCAGGGCATCGGCACCATCATCTGATTTGACACGATGACTGACGGGCCTCCTGATTCGGCGCCAGTGTTTGACAGTCAACAGCGCGTTTAGAACAAAAACAAGAATCGCTCCAGCTCTTAAATTCAAGTTTAAATTTGTTTGGTTTTGGAGGTGAGGGGGTGGGGGATGACCTGTTGTCCTGCATACCAGCTTTGTGAGGCAGATTTCTTTTTTTTTTCCTTATAAAAACCAATGTTCCATCTGTGTTTTTTTTATTTTAGTTCTCGTGTTTTTTTGAAAGCACCATTCAGGCTGACATTTTCAAGTCCCATTTCAGAGGGTCAAAGTGAATTAATTTCTGACTCACCAGACTCTTCAAACTCCTGGTTGGTCAGCCTCCAGGCGTCTCTGATGCGCAGCAGGTTGTTCTCCAGAGTGTCCAAGTCTGAGTGGGGGCAGTTGCATTGCGGAAAGTCCGCGCTGCACTCGCACCAGCAGTCGCTCTTCTGGCAAACAAACTGGCCTTCGGATTTACAGCCAATGTAGTCGAGAGCTGCCTGAATGAAGCGGCTCTGTAAATACTCCGGTAGGATGACCTGCAGTCCTGTGGAGTGTCAAAGACAAGATATATATATAGAAAATAAGTGCTCACCAACATATAAATGATATTTTCTGTTCTCCTTGTCGTCTCCAAACCCCGTTAAAAAGCCAACAATAGATGCATCCTTTTAAAACAAGCATCATCTATATATCTTGTTAGTCCTGTTGTCTAGAAGCTATTAAGCTCGTATACATCATCCTGCAGCTGCAATTATTCACAAGAAAATCAAACGTGTGTTAATCTGCTTCTGAAAACAGTCCCCCAGAAACTCACTGTTTACTGCTGCTTCATAGAATTCAGCTGTTTTATCAAATTACCGGCCACAAAATTATAGATTTGTGCCCACATTTTCACCCCTATGAACTCCACACTCTGCCAACAGGTTTAAAAGGCACGTTGTCTTTTACAAATTGCCAAAATCACACTTGCATTCTTCAGAGCCAGAAACTAATCGTTTGTGACGAGCCGTTCTGTCGGAAACCGAATCCAAGCTTAAACTAGCGACACTGTGTCAGAAATATTCCACGTCTACCAAAAATGTGAACATCTGCACAGAATCAGTCGCACTGGGGCTATTATGCGTAAACAAAAACTACCACATGACACAAATCACGGGACAGGATTGGCTGGCAGTGACACATGGCACCAGGGATTTCCGGCTTCTTTCTGGTGTTAGCGCTGATGCACGCTGACAGTTTTTGACAGTGATAATAACATTTTTATGCTCTATTAGGGCTGGGCCATATCGTACCATGAACTGGTGTGAAGTTAGGGGATGATGTGAAACTGAAATATAACATTTGAGTAAAACGTGCAGCGCCATTGTTTTGGTCCGGTCTCATGCACATGGAACAAGAAGCACGCCGGCGACCGAGGAGGAGGGTGAATGCAGTGCTTCGACCAACACAGTAGCGCTAGACCCGGATATCTGAGTATTTGGTCGTTGTAGTTTTGTCTGGATAGCAAATTTGAGATCCAAACATTCGCTGGCCACTGCCGCTACCCCCCAGTTTTGAAGTATTTTGTCTGGCGTCGATTATATCGTCAGTTATATTGTTATCGCTAATTTTCCCATTTATATCTTGACAAATATTTTTGGCCATATCGCCCTATGCTCTGTACTGTTAAATGTTACCTACATGTAGAAAACAACTAGCTGGACCGATCTAAGCAATAAACCCAAAATCAATATCTTATCATCTGTTAATTCGGGCTGTATCTCGGATATAGCCTGAGGTCTAGTGCGACTAATTTGGGTCACAAATAAAGCATTTGCATTAACCAGGTTCTCTAAAAACACAAAATTCTGAGCTTCTCTGTGCCTTTTGGTTCTCTTTTGGAACCAAAAGTCACCTGACACAAAAAAATCAGGGACTTTCCGGCCGAACCGGGCTGAACTGCAGGCTGTGTACAAACAGAGCACACTGGAAGAAAGTATTAAAAGTAAAAGTGTGAAAATATCAAAAATGTTCCCCCTTAATTATCCATTACACCTGTGCGAACTTTAAACAATGTTTTTGATTCCAGATTTAGTTTTTAAAATTTTTCTAAAACAAAGCTTTAAAGAAATTCAGCTTTTTGGCATTACAACGATGTTACGCTGCATAACAGACATTTCTGACTTCTCTCTGTTTCTATCCATGGCTGTGCTGTTTCCATAGAGCTGCAAGACTTTATTTGCTGTAGTGAAAAATGAGCTCACAGTGAGTAAAAATATGACCAGAGCAAAAAAACACCCAGAAACTACTCGGGGGGGTTCAAAAGTGTAAAGGCTGAGTTTTAACTATTGGGCTTCGTAATTGTTCAGAGATGGACTGACCAGCTGTTGGGCCTTTTCTTGGGATTTGTTAACAATAAGAGAAATTATAATAAGGTTTCTCTAAAGCAATAGCTCTGACTTTGAGCTTCTTCCGACTTCTTGCAGAGATGTGAGGACGATAAATATTAAGGCTACTGGCAGCAGCTGCTCCACTTAGCTCACTTGAGTCAGGGGGAAACAGCACGCCTGTCTAAAGGTGAAGAACCTACCACCTACCAGCAGCTCTAATTAACATGCTGCAGCCTGTTTATATAATTCATATGAAAAGCAGTGTGAAAAAGACAAGTTGTGGTTTTAGCAGGCAGACAGGCATGAGAAGAGTATCAGACGCCTCATCTAATTCTGCCAGAGAGAGAGAAGGGGGAATGTTTTCCAAACAGGAGAGCGTAGAAACAAGTCATGGTGTTGGATTTACCTTGCAGCTGAACCTTGTTTTCTGGACTGTGAACCAGCACCGAGCTCACAGTGTCCAGATTGTCATAGTTGCTGCATCCGAGTGGCCCAGTTCTGGTTTCAGTCACCTGCAAGCACATGGAAAGAACACAGCAGCGTGACTCGTTCTGTCATTTCGTTATGCAAGTCTAGCGGAGACACAGTTCAGCCGAGATGGTTTTTCTCAGACAGCCGCCACTCTTCTCTCATAACCTGCATGTTTCGACTCCTTCTCCTTGTTTTAAGAAGAGAAGAATGCACAAAGTGTCATCAGAGGCATCTTAAGCCTCAAAAGGATTTGGAATGCTGAACGATGAGTCACTGTGAAGCAACGGCGGAAAAGGTCTTCAATTAAAACAGAATCATTTGTCCTGATGCGAGAAGAAATCAGCTGAAAAACTTTTAACTGATTCACATCTCGGCTTATTCCTGAAAGTGATTAATCTCCATGTCGGAGTTGTGCGTTCACAGAGACGTAAATACATAACCTGTGCGCTGCATTAGCATATGTTGTTTTTTTTTCTTTGCTCTTTCCTATTTCTCACCGTGATCCCGGACGCCATATGTGACTTTAATAAATGGCCACACGTCGCAGGTGCTGCTGTACATCGCTCATAAAACGAAGCGCTCGTCTGCCCCTGCCCCTTCCCTTTTCTCTCGCTCTGATCTTCAATCTGTCCGAACTCCACACCCGCCGCAAAGTGGCAAATGAATGGAAGTCAGCCCCGGCTGGAAATTAATGGAATGATATCTTTAATCCATCAAGCTGATGCATAACCGGAGGAACACGTTCTCATTTGGGGGGGCACTTGTCTTCATCAGTGGCTACTCGCTTTAGCATCTACGTTTGCCCCCTCGGGCTGATTAATGCGCTCACTCTAATAGCCACTTCAGATGATAAAATGCATGATTGGTGTTTTATGCTACAGGACGCGCAACCGCTGCTGCTCTTTAAAGCTCGCTTCCCGAGGAGGTGGAAGCTCGTGTTTTTTACCGCTTCTTTTTCTGCCGCCAGAAAACAGTCATTTAATTGGTGTGCTAAAGGTGGTAACCTATGAAAGACCTCATTTATCAGATGGTGATAAGAATCACACGAAATGCTTCTTTGTGCATGCTAAGAGATTTGTAATTTTTTTGGCCTTAATAAAATAACACGTGAGAGAAAAAGTGTAAAAGCAGATTTGACGGCGTCGCTGCTCCCCTGCAGTCACAACAGGTGAATCTGCTCGTGTCAGGCCACTTCTGTAAATAAGCATTTGTTCTTAATCCCACCTGATTAAAGAAGTTATGGGTAGAAAGTCCCTGAGCTGGTATTAAGGGATTTGTTTGAGTAAGTTGTCTTCAAGTTAAGTTCTCAAAGTGTCACGAATTAAAACTTTGCTCTACATGTATGTCAGCGGCAGAGAGTCACAGTTATTTAAATATTTCCATTTTAAGTCACCGTATACTTCTATTACACCACAGTGAAGGTGGAAACGCTGTGCATTTTTACTACACTGCATTTATTTTAAAGCTACGGTTGCTCTTTTATCTATCGAAATGCAATCCATATGGTCTATCAAAGGGATATGATTATACATTGCATCAGCTTAGATGCGACTACACCAGGAATATTGGTCACTCAGAGTGAAGATGCCTTGAAGAGCAAATCAAAACCGAATTCTTTATGTTACATTTATGTCACATCTGCATCAAATCTGCAAAGTGAGAAGCTAAAAAAAACATAATTTTAACTGGTGATAAGTTGTTTTTAACCTCTTAACAGTCACCAGAAGAGTTTATTACTCAAAACGAAGCTCAACATAGTCAGGATTACTTAGCTGGCTCGACAAAACCCAAAACTGGGTGGTCATCAGCTTTCTCTCTTTTTCAGGATATGTGCAAGCTATCTGTTTTTTGTGCATTTAAAACAGACTAATGGCCTGTTCAGTCAAGAGAAACGTGTTTTCATGAAGCTATGGAGAATATGAAAAATGCATAAAGCACATTTACTGCAAATGATGCAAGAGAGGAACAACATTTTCAGTCGATAAATTAGCATTCGCCGCGTAGGTTAACGCATTTCTTTTACCGCTCGGTGCACTTGACATGACAGCTGCACGTTAGCGCTCTTGAACTCTAAACTTCATCCATTTAAACATGATATTAAACGAATGCGCTGATGGTATGGATTGAACGTTCTCTGAGAAATACCAACAGACTAATCAAGGTTCTAATCGGCGTGTGAAAGCAGTAAATCCGGACCGAACAAAAGCGATGCATTTTCTGCATCACAAATTGAATACGTGTATGTTTCCATGGCAACACGACACATGCAGTTTGCGGCACCGTTCTGTGGGATTACTAACGTACGGCTCAGCGATGTTTGCAGACACTGAACGGATGGATTGTGTTTCCTATTGCTGATTTAAATCCCAAACTCTGAACCAGGATAGCTGCGCAGCATCAGTTACCATGGTGACGTAGCAGGTTAAACGAGAACGACGAGAACATGCTTCCCTAACCGACCCGCTTTGTAGTCCAGCCATCTAGGGACTAGTTTAAGCTGATTCAGTGCAGCTTGGCCATGGACGCTAACCTCTGTCGATGTGGACATGCTACTAATGTTTACATCGGTTTAAAGGTTTTACAGCTTAACCGACCACTTCAACCCTTTTCTCCCATAAGACGAGGGATGTGGGATTTCACACAGGTATGTCGGGGTTCTCATTGTTGCGGCTGGAAGCAGCATGTCCTGGTTGTTGTTATTGACTTTACTGTGTACAGAGAAGCCGTGTGTTTTAGGCTCATTTTCAGAAACTAGAAGCTTTTTCTTGTGGGGAGGCCATTTTAAAAAAAAATTAAATAATATATTTTCATAGCAGGTGTTTGACTACCAGCATAAGTTTGTATTTTGACTTAATAAACACCTCTAAACTCTTTGGTATGCAACCGTACGCTGAAGAACGCTGGATCAAAGTCGCAGTACCAAGAACTTAATACAACTTAAACACAATAATGTGTGGAGGCATCAAGTCTGAAGTGATTTCTCCACCCTGAGTGAGTCCTTTGTGAATGTTCAATAAGTTTAACAGAACCAAGCCAGCCCGGCTCGATGCTTCATATCGGGCCGTTCCCACGTGTGAATGCTGGAGGCTAACAAACCGTGAGGCAGCAGAGCAACACCTTCCGGCGCAGAGCATACAGCTTCTTCATTTCCCACCGGACTGCTGCCGTATATACACTTTCCTTCCTTCCACGTACCCGTATGGCGGAGGATGCGATCTGGAGGTGGTGCAATCTGCGCAGGGTGCTCTCTCTGTCTGTGAAGTAGGAAGCAGCCAGCTGGTGGAGGGCTTCGAGGGTCACCGTCCCCGTTGCATTCGACTTCCTGCTGCTGCTGCTGCCTCGGCTGCCCTCGGGCCCCGAGGCCGAAGACTCCTGGCTGAGCTTCCTTTTGTCCACAAATATCGTCAAAGACTCCTCCCCTGGTGACAGTCGGGCAGAGAGAGTGAGAGGTTCATTAGCTCTGACGGAGCAGCACTAATCACCTTTCATTAGTATCTTTTCAGATATCGGATAGAAAAGCGCAGCGGTGATTAAGTGCTGTGGGGGAACTGATGGTTTGGATGATTGGAGGAAAAGGCGCAGACAAGGTCTCTGCATCTATTAAACTCCTTATGAATAAAAAGGACTTATTCAAGATCATTGATCAAGTTTGCTTAATTATTTTAATTAGCCTAATTAGAATGGCCAAAAATTACATAACAAACAAAGCAGACCTCGGGTCAGCGCTGCCTCCTGTAAACACTGCAGCAACGCCGCTGTCACCTGAGAGAATCTGCCTGTTTCATGAAGTGTTTTCAGACTTCTGACATTTTGTTTGAAGTGTGCTCTTGAAGAAAAGTCCTAACATTGAAAACCACAGGTCTCCTTTTTGAGAGGTGATGTCACTTTTCTCTAACTTGCCTCATCTTCTATTGCGGCAGCTGATTTTCCCAATTTTCTCAGTGTAACTTCAGAACTCCGTGTTCTCGGGTGAATCACTACATTCACCAAAGAGGTTATGAAAAAGGCCCGTTACTAAATGGCTGAGTTATCAGTGAAACACATCTAGTGTCTGAGGTTTTCAGTCAGAGGAAGGATGAATGTGTCCGCAGCAGATGCTCTTTATCAAATCTTAACAACCTCAAATCGTCCCTTAACTTTAACGGCGTGTCAAGGCCGTGTTGTCAATACACGTCTTATTGGCTTGATTCCCAAACGTGTTTGTCATCACCAGCACTGACAGCATCACTCCATATAGGAGGGTCTCCATGGCTGCAGCTCAACCTCTGCACCGCACAGAGAGCAGGAACATACAGCGAGTGTATAAATACACGAGTAAACACATCCACCTCCACACACGTCCTGGTCAAACAAAGACCAGCGCCTAAAATCTTCTGTTGCAATAACTTACACTGTTAGTGTTTCTTATTTCCCTGCAGATGTGTTTTCCTCAGAAGTCGATTTAACCTGTCCAAGGCTTCCCAGTTTGACTAGAATAAAAAAAAAAAAAAAAAAAATCTATCTGTCATCTAATTCTGTGTCTTTGTTATTTCTGATTGCTACCGGAATACCTGCGCTAACCTGTGAAGACGCGTGACACGATGATAGGAACGACGAGTCCTGATGAAATGTGAAATTTGTGACTGCCATCAAGAATGACAAGAAGTGTTTTCTTTGCCAACATCCCTTTGGTAACAAAAACTGCTTTGTAGAATTTTATCTGCCACTGTTTCTGGTACCGTAATTTCCGGACTATAAGAAGCTACTTTTTTTTTTTACACGCTTTGAACACTGCGGCTTAAACAATGATGCGGCTAATTCGTGGATTTTAACGAATTTGCCTCGAGAGCGACAACGACAGAGAGACCGAGGAAGTGTGTGACGGAGTTATTCTGAGGCTGTTCAACTCCGACACAGAGGACTTCAGTGGTTTTAGTGCAGGAGGAAGATGAAGATAGCGATCAATGACTTTTCCTGGTCTGCTGCTGTAGTTTTTATTTTCTTAACCAGCTGTGCTACACGAACTGTTCAGAAAAAAACATTTGTGTATGTTACCGCTACATGTTTAATTAAAAGGTAAAAAAATCTTTCTGTGTAAATATCTCATGTTCCAACGTGGACACCTGCAGCTTATAGACAAGTGTGGCCTGTATATGTACACAACTGGTTTTCTTTTTAAAGTTAGTGGGTGCGGCCCAATAGTCCGAAGTTTACGGTAATTCCATTCATTCCAGTTTCACTTATATAGCTGTGATTTGCAAAGTCATCTTAGGGCACGTCATGTCGTAAGGGTATACTTATGTTGTAGTGAGAAACCTAACAAATCCAACGAAACCCTTTGAGCAAATGGGGAAGAAATAAAAACTCCCTTTTAACAAAATAAACTGCCAGAAGAACCAGGCTGAGGGAGGGCAGACGTCTGCCTCGACTGGTTGGGGTGAGGCGGGTGTTTCGGTTTTTCCATCGATGGACAACTTTGTTTTGTGAGGTGGCTGTGGCTTGGGTGGTAGAGTGGGTTGTCCTCTAATTGCAAGGTTGGTGGTTCGATCCCCCGCCCCTCCACAGTGGAAGTGTCCTTGGGCAAGACACTGAGCCCAAAGTTGCTCCCAATGGCAGGCAGCAGCTTGCATGGCAGCTCTGTCACCATTGGTGTATGAATGTGATCTATATTAAAAGCGCCTGCTAGATGAGATTGTCAATTGGTTTCTTTAAACTCTGACCACTGTTGTTTCCCAACCTTATCCAAGCAATGCTGGAGCTTTCTGCAAACCGAACGACAGTCACACAAAAAAACAACCCAGTCATACCACATGGGAGCTAATGCGTTTAACCCTATTCAGGACTTCCATGTTGACTTCCGGGTCTTTCAGGGTTCACTGGACGCCAAGAAAGAATATGTGCAAAATATTTGTTGGATAGACTTTTATACTATGTTAAATACATTTTCTGATAAGTTGGCGTATTTTTGGTTCCAAATGCATGACAAATGTCCCTCTTTTTATATTTAAAAAACAATATCTGTCACCTAAACCAAATGGCCCGGGGTCCGACAGACCCCCAAAGTCCTGAACAGGGTAAAGCAGTAAGTCCTGAGTCTAACTCTCGGTGCTTCCTTCCCCCACATTTCCGGTCTCCTTCTGCTGCCATTGTTTAATAAAAAATAATAATAATGCCAAAAAAAAGAAAACAAAAAACAACAAAAAAACAAACAGTCATTCCGAGCTGACATCCCTGTCGGCAGGATGACATTTGCCCTGTTCGGAGCATCCGCTCGCCCACTATATGGTGAATCAGCCGTTTTGCTGAGATGTTTTTGAATTCTCAGCAGTGGATTTCAACCCACTATACTGCGCACGGCGGGAACGTCATGAAGCACACCAGATGTAGCGCGCAGCAACGGCACCGACATCCCTCGACTTAAAGCATCAGGCCTGTCTCTCTGATGTCAGAACAAGAAGAAGAAGACAAAGACGGTTCGGCATCAACGTCGGCCGCCGGTGGAAGTGATTTTCACTTTCTGCCTGGTGAGCGTTCACTCGTCTCAACCGTTCAGTGGCTCGTCTCTTCCTAAGCAGCAGGATTTTGAGAATTACAGAACAAAATGCCAACTGAAACCATGTGCAAAATGTAGTTGTTGGGTCAAAACTGCAAATATTACCCTGATGCTTTTTAAAGCAGCTTGTTTATGAAAAGAAAACTGCACCTGATCTATAACAACAGCTGCTTTAGAGACCATTTTAATGCATTTGACTGCTTTGCATGGATAATGTTAAATCACAACTAATTTATTGAAGCTTAGTCTGTCCTAGCAGAAGTATTAAAGATGAGCCTATAATTGGATAGTTGCTGCTGCGGTCTCGGTCATGCCTGTTCAGTTGGTTAAAAGTATGCTGTGAATAAAGGTTCCACGAGCACAAACTTGGGTTGTTATAAAGTTGTGTTTTTCAGCGTTGAGGAGAGATGTGCCACTTAAAACTTATCCAAAAATAGCAACGTCAGGGTGCCCACGTGCCTCAAACGCTCCGCAGATGTTCTGACGTTTGTTTGTGCGACGGAGATAATAGCCGGCGCATAATTATGTAGCGTAGTCGTGTAGCAACAGCCGTCTGCCCTGAACGCTGTGTAGAGGCTGAGTGGACAATCCAGACACAGCTCTTTGTCAGAGCTTTCCAGAGCGATTATATGCATTGGTTGCAAAACTGAGCAGAAGAAAACGGAATTGATTTGAAGAAAGAAACCAGAAACAGATTTCTGCATCCAAGCTGCACATTCCTAAACACCATGACCTCTATCCTGTAACGTTTTGTGGGTCTGCAAACATCCACACAACTATAGTCGTGACTCGATAATCCGACACTAAATGTAAAACCTTCTTTTATGTCGGATATCAAGGCTGTCGGATTGTCAAGACGGAGGTCGAGATACAAGGAAGGCTTGATGCTGGAAGGCTCATTAGTTGTTAATTATTGTTGTTAGTTGTTATAATAACTAGTAGGGCTGGTCCCAATAGAACCTTCTGCTCTCTGGATATTGGGTGCGGTCGGGGGACACTTCCACCCCGGGGCAGCGCTCTGACGGGGTGGAAGTGTCCAGAACACACAGGCAGTACTTGGCTGCTGATGCTAGTTTAGTTAGCGCTCACACTTCTGTTTCCACCATCGGCGGCGGTGGGGGAGTGGCAGATACGCTCCACCGTTACCATCCATGTTTACTTCCGTAAACACTGAGCACGCTCGCTGTGTGTGTCATCGTCGTGTCCTCTTCTGCGCATGCGGGACACTTTTGGGTCGTATGAAGTTCACACAGCAGATCACATACAAGTCGCATTGAACTGGAAACGTGAAGGAACTCACAAAGAAATCCTCATTTAGCATCAAGTCCTGCAGTGTGAACGTAGCCAATCTGTGGGATTGTTCAGTCAGATAATACGCCATTATCCTGATTGGTGACATCAAATGTCATGTCGGAGTCAGAATCCAAGGCTGTCGGTATGTTAAGGCTGTTTTTGTGGGTTCTGTTGGTTTTTCCTAAAAACCTGTCGGATAGCAAGGTTTAGGATTGTTAAGGGTCGGATTATCGAGTCACGACTGTACTGCCTTCATTTCTGAAGACAGAAGTTATAATTCCAGCGGCTGCTAGACGTCTTTATTAAGCAAACCTTAACACGAGTCATATTTTGTACTGGAGCCGCAAAAGCCTCCACAAACACATTACAAATGTCAGCATGCAACAAAAATCTGTTGCACTCAGGTTAAGTTTTACCAAATCAACTCCGTCGCTCTCAGACTCTAAGTTCAGGTTGAGGCGAGCGTCAAGAGCTCCACTGTGTTATTAAAATGTTCTGTGCTGCATTTTTGTGTCCGCGGACAAAAGCAGACAATTACATCTTTGTGTTTCCTGTGATGAATTTCTTGGATATTGACAGCCCGAACTGTATGTTTTCTGCTGGAGTTTGGCCATTTATTGTATTTCTGGGAATAAGATAAAAGCAAACCTCAAACCTCCAAATAATCCTGAATTGCGTGGAACGTTGGCAACAACAGTTTTAAACTAAATTAGCATTTGAATAGTTCCCTCGAAACAATTTTTTTTTCTCTCCCCCTGCTAACAACATACATTTTTGAAACCCACACTTTCATTTCTCCTAATAATAACACATACTTTGTGCTAATAATTTCTTAAGAAAAGAAAGAAAAGATGAGCCACTCGCATATAAATTATAGTGTTGTTCAACAGCGATCAGGCTCCGTTAGTGGAACCACGCTGTTCTGACAGCAAACAAAACAAAACAGAAACATTTAATCTGTCGCTCCAATTTACTTGTTGTACACTAAACCAGAGTGATTTGATGCTTTCTGTGGGCCAAAAAACACTGATCCAGAAAAATTATTATATGCTTTGTTGCCTGGAAAGCAACAGACGGTAAAATCAGAGCCCCATATGCTGGGAAAAAAAAAAAAGAAGACACAAAATCACATTAGAAGCTGTGTGAATCAGGCTTCGCTTTGAAGCTCAGCGTGCTCTACTGTACCTCCCAGAGTGGCAGAGAGGAGGAAGTGGGTGCCATATTTCTTGATTAGACTCTCTGTAATCGTCTGGAGGGTTGGCCGCCTCCCCAGCTGGCGGATGGTGTGCATGAAGTCGGGGTCGAGGGGCAGAGCCAAACCGCCGCTGCCACCAAAACTGTCCCGCTTCTCCACCGCCAGGCTGTTGACCTTCCATCGACCAAACTCCCTGCAAATGCAACAACAAAACACACACACACCCACAGAGAGACGTTTGCTCACTTTGCAGAGGCCTTTAGTTGCATTTGAGGGCTCTGGGCTGCTGTTTAACGAGCTGTAGGTGTGCAGTGTACACTCACATACATTAATAACATACCATAGATGAAGCTCCTCTCAGGAGCCCTAATCATAAAACACTTTCATCTGTCTTCTTGTTTGATTAAGGCTGTGGTCGCTTATTTATCCACCACAGATATTTTCATTTACACTTCTTCTTGGAGTGACATAAACAGAACCACAGGGAAGCCACGACGAGGCCCGGCTCCTCTCAATAAGACATGAGCTCCCTCGTAAATAAGACTTATGAAACTTTGACGGGCGGTCCCTATTGTACTGAAAAACATGGTATTTCTGTCATGTCAATCTGTTTTTCTGCATCTTCACAGTCACGCAATAAGAGACTGTTATTGACGTATGTTTAACGCTCAAGGGTGGTTAATCAGTAACTGACTTCAATAAAGATCCCAGCACGCCTGCTGAGCTCACCATCAAAGATCAGAAACTGTCTTGATGCCAACTGGAATAACACAGATAACATAACTTTTAGTATTCGGTGGTTAGCATCATCGCCTCGCAGCTACAAGGTCGCCGGTTCGCGTCCCGGTGAGGACACCCGGGATCTTTCTGCCTGGAGTCTCCATGTTCTCCCCGTGCAGCGTGGGTTCTCTCCAGGTTCTCCGGCTTCCTCCCACAGTCCAGAAACATGTTGAGGTTAATTGGTGATTGTAAATTGTCCGTAGGTGTGAATGTGAGTGTGCTTGGTTGTCTGTCTCTAAGTGTAGCCCTGTGATAGACTGGTTACCTGTCCAGGTGAACCTGCCTTCACCCTGAGTCAGCTGGGATAGACTCCAGCCCCCCTCGTGAGGGTTAAGTGGTGTATAGATAATGGATGGATGGATGATTAAAAATAAAACATAAAAAAGGAAAATCTACTCATTTACGAATGTTGTGAAATTTCCCATCAAAAAAATCACAGCGAGCCCACCCAAGGTTCGATATATTTTGCAGTATTAATTGAATAAAAGTGGATCGTTTACTCAGATTTTGCGATACATTTACATGTATTTCTTGTACAAGGCATCCAGGGATCAGCCGACCTTTACACTTGACCTCTTTTCCTTCACTGGATTCAGCAAAGTTTGCTTTAGAGCTGCTACCACTTGACTGAGCAGCAGACGTGTTCCAGCCATTTACTCAGTACTTTAACCTCAATTTCAACCGTGTTCACTTGCTAACTAGTTTTTATGCTCTCTTAATCACAGCCAGTTCTTTTTTTATAGCAGCCCGGAGCCTCAGGCTGTCACCAGCTGCCTGTTAGCTTAGCAGTCACTTTGTTTTTCGAACAGAATAAAAAAAAAAAAACATGATATAATGTGTTTAATGCTGCTGGTGAACACATTTATTTTTTTTAAACTTTTGCATTTGGCTTTCTAGGCTTTATCCTGTGTTAAGTTAACCAGCTGCTGGCACTAACTGTATATTCAGAGTGGTGTTTATCTCTTCCCAGCTCTCTAATTAAAGATCATTAAATAAAACTGACAGAAAAATATAATTGATGAGCTTTTACATTTGGGAGAAGGGAGAGAGGCTTTCACGCCATGACCTCAGTGTTTCTAGAATCGGCCACAGCTTGGATCACAGCTTGTGGCGTCGGGGCTTGTCGAAAGCGTGTCCTGTGCAAAAACTCGATGCAGCAAATCAGCAAAGATCAGCATCGCGCCGATTTGTTATCCCGCCTGTGCTGTTATTGTCCTCCTAAATCTGTGGATGCAATTCGCCAAACCATGATTTATATTCTTTTCTGCTTTTCGGAAATCCCTCCCCAGAGCACCTAGAGTGGCTGAGCATCGCTGTTACGGGGTTTGCAGTTGCTTGCACGAGCTTTAAGTAACTGCTGTACGGGTGAAACAAAAACTTATTGGGATGCAAGGCTGTAACTCCCACAGCGGCAGAGAGGCGCAAAATATAGTCCCACATCATCAGCTGCCATCATTTGTCATCTCTTGCCCTTTGGACACGAGTCTCGCTGAACTCTGGGTATACTCACAAACCGCCTCTCTCTGCCGCCGCCGCTGCTGCTGCCTCCCTCCTTAGCACCAGTTAATGTCTACCTCTCCCACAGTGCTGCCTGCTGCTCTGTGTGCCTCCCCCTCCTTCTGGGAGGCCATCAAATCACTGCCACGAGAAAAATGATCGGCAGAGAAATAATTGGGGAACCGGGACGGTGTGGAGTGTGTCATTACAGCCAATCATCATAATGAGAGGACAGGCTGAGAGTCCGTCTCTCGTGGACAGATGGGGCATTGTAGATCCAGCCCAGGGTTTGGCCTACAGCTATTCCATCAGCATGTGGCACGCAAGAGAGAGAGAGCGAGAGAGAGAGAAGAGAAAAAAAAAAGCTTATGCAAACCCTAAGGCCTACTGTATGTATAGAAAGCAATACAAATAGAAAGAAACAGTGATGAAAACAACTTTGTGAAATGGAAAAAAAAAAAAAATGCTATAAAAGGAGCAGCTGGGAGCAAATCGACAGCTTAATCACATGCTGCGCTCTGACTGACAGCCACGTGATGTTTGCTGTGGTGTTACAGCTATTAAAGAGGTCAGAGGGGTAGGATAGCACTTAAAGCCTCCAGGCTGTTTAAGCAGGAATACCTATAGAGAGAGTATCTACAACCCGATGGGAACTGTGGAAAATACAGTTATGACATTTTTTTTTTTTTTAGGAATAATTGCCTTCAGTGTTTCTACAGCTTCCGTTCCTTATCTCCAAGACGTGAAATAATAAGTCACATCAGGCGGAGGAACTATAAAGTGCTTCGAATGGACTTTGCTGTCAGTTATCATCTTATTACTGCAAGTTTTTTTTTTATATATGCCTCAGCTCCTTCTCATTTTGGAGTCATCTTTAAAAAGCCCTAATCCTCCAACCAGCCTGAGAGGTTCAAAATGTATTTTACCCCGGACACAGACCTGACTGCTGAGGGGCTGAAAACCCCTCAAGAGGTGAGATATCAGCCAGCCAATACAGACGCCGGTCGCCCTCCACAAGCCGAGCTGCCTCTTTGTCACTTTCAATGATTTTCACTAATTATGGAAAACAAGAGGCCTCAAGTCAAGGGACTCTTGGCAAATTGATGCTGCAGGCCTACGAAAGGAAGAGACACAGGTGTCACGGAGAGATAAACACCACAGCTCCAAAGATTCCTGAAACAAGATAATAGAGGAATTGATTTATGCACCTATAGATACACACAAGGATGTTTTTTCTTTCTCTCTGTCTCTCTTTCTCTCTTACTTTGTTAAACCCTTGGCACCAGAAACGTCTTCAATCAAACCTCACAAGACCGCAGGAGCAAAATATCAACACGCATCGACTTTCGACAAAATCACAAACACAAACCCAGCCCGTGTGCGCCTCACACACCGACACACACCCAGGAGTTGCGTCAGAGCGGAAATATGTTGCTTGAATAAAAGCTTGCGAGGATTATTCAGACAAAAGGCAGGCAGCAGCTGCTGAGTGCAGCTCGGATGATGGTGCAGGAGGTCACTGAGGGGCACCTGGGATTAACTCCTGCTGCAGGGGTCATTTTTTGAAACATCAGCAATTACATGAACCATCACATGCAAAAAAAGAAAAAGTGCAGGTGGGATTACATGCTGGCTGGTATTCAGATCACAGGCTTCAGGAGCAAAAGGGCACACTTTGCATCGCTGCAGTGGTTCAGCACTTCAGATCTGCTCATCAGCTTGCAACTAATTTGGTGCAGGTGTGATACCTGTGAGGGCATCCCTGAGAGGGTGCTGGTTTTCATTCCAAACACTTCAGCAGCTGCTCTCGCTGATAAGTGCTCATCAGTAAAAAGATCCTGTCTGAGTGAACACTCACAGCCACCGACCTGAAACTCCTCAAAGAATCACATATGCATGCATTACATACAGAGCAAAAGAAAAAGAAAAAAAACAGCCTCACCTATAGATCTTGTATCTGGTGCTGAAGCCCTGCTGGTACCTCTCCGCAGCTTCCGTGAACTCCAGGGACTGCTGGAAGGGCCCTTTATCCGACAGCAGCCAGCCCAGGGAGCCGGGGGCGCCGTCGCTCTGGCCGGCGGCTGTGGCTCCAGAGGCGGCTGCGGTGGCGGCCCTGGAGGTCCAGCAGCAGCAGAGCCAGAGGCTGAGAGCCGCCCCCTCCCATAGCAGAGACAGCCGCTTATGACTGATTCTCTGACAGCTCATGCTTCTTCACCCAGCGACACCTCATCCTCTCCGGACTGGGAGGACGACAGATATTAGGGATGAAAAAGTGGCGCGTCGTGCAGATTTGGAGGGTTGTCGAAAATTCATCCTAAACCCTCTACATGAGAATCAACACACAAAAACACTACGATCAAGTGTTTTAATACACTGGTTGGGGGGGAAAAAACCCCAAGACGCGGAGCCTACCTGATCTGATTTGGCAATAAGAACCAAAAGGATGCGCTCCTAAGAATAAGTCAACTCTCCCGATCTTGCCAGAGCTGCGAATAAAACAACCTCAGCGACGATCCGATAACGAATCAAGTCCGTCTTCTGTCACTCGCCCCTCCAACTTGATCGCTCTGTCTTTCTCTCAACTTTATTTCGGGAGACGATCCTCCAGCATCCGCGCATCCGTCCGCGCCACGGCGACGAGAAGTTGCAGCAGCAGCGGAGGAGGCGCAGAGGAGTTCATTCTGAGGACGTCCGTTTTTCCAAGATATTTCCAAGAGGGGTTTTGGTTTTCTTAACGCAAAAAGGTAGATTTCACCATCCCGATCGGAGCATCTCTGTTGGTTTGATCCTTAAAGCGGCTGCGTAAAAGCTCCCCCCCGGAAAAAAAAACACACACAGGAGAGGAAAATGTGTGTAAATGTTGCGTGCGGGCTCTTATTCCCTCCTTGTAGCTGCGTGAGCTGGTGGATGAATGTGCGCCTGCTTCAACAAAGAGAGCTTTTCTTCCCCAGATTTTTTTTTCCTCCTCTCTCCAAGTGAGATAGCAAGAGGGCGAGCAAGTGCATCATGATGAGGGTAATATATGTACAGTGCTCACTGAGTGGACTCAAGTTTGTGAGGACAGCGGGGTGATGCTGGTTGCATCAGGACCACTTCCATCCTTCACCCCTCACATAATCCGTCCTCATTATTTGCCGCCACAGCTTGCACCTCTCCGAGTGAACGTTGCGCAGCAGAAAGAGTTAAACGCAGTCTGATAATAGCCTAATTATCTTTTTTTCTTTCCTCTCTTTTATTGTCCTGTGCCACACGCTCTGCAGCCCTGCATCACTAAGCGGCCCACGCCAGCCTCTCCTGATCACACGCACGGTTTTGTTTTTTTTGTTGTTGCAGGATTTACCTGAGAATAATTACGGGCCATTAACAGGGAAACAGGTTTCTTAGGGTAATGTGATTCAAGTTCAGGAGTGCACTCAGTCTGCTGCCCCCAAGCTTCACAATTTGCACAAAAAAACACCGCCGCTCTCCTCTAAAAGGATGCTTAAATTCCAAATTATGCAAAAGAAGGAAAATCTTTGACCTGTAACTTGTAAATAATACACTTGGAATACTCAAAGCATCCTTTATGGAGAGCTCCCATTAATGGTGGCATTTATTTCAGACAGTGATGACTGGATGGATGCAGATTGGGATTTTTTATTTTTAATCTTATAAGTTTGCCTCCTACCCCCTTTTCCCTGCAGCTACATCACCACTACTTGATGCACATGCTGAGTGATGTGAGAGGAATCCTTCAGATTACATGGGAACGCAGGGACGTGGTGCGTTGAGGGATCCACAGGTACAGCAGATGAATCTCTAATTAGACTCCGTTGCTACTGGAGTGAGAAACAGCAAAGTTCCCGAAGCAGAAGTGGGTTCACGGCGGCGTTATCATATTTGCAAGGAAGGACTTTTGTCTCATCTTGTCATTATGTTTGTCATTCACACTCAGAACCCTGATTGACAAAGACCTCCCCGCGTTAAATGGGCTGTGAGCAGAGTGTCTGTTATCCATGATGGGGTTGAATCAATAGTCTGCTTCCATCGATTCCCTTTTGCTCTAATGTTATTTGGCCTCTCTGGATGTCAGGATGCTTTTTTTTTTTCTCTCTTCTTCCTTTTTTTGAAGCTCAAATTAAGACAATTTGTCAATTCTGTAACAAGGAGTCACGTCTTCAAAGCCCAAATATCTTTGGTCCTTGTCAGCGCCGTTGACAGACGTGTGCGTCGGCTCAATCAACCGACGCTCTTTGAAATTTAAAGCAGGAGGCAGTTTTTTTTTTTTCTTGTAATCCGCCAACAGGAGGATTCGCCTCCCCAGGTAGCTGATCTTAGCATCGAGGACATCTGTAATAATAGCGACGCCTGTGTTTGTTGGTGCAACAAAAGAAAATGCATTAAATATTCCAACTTGTAATTTGCGTAGAGAAAGGATAGGGGAGAAATGAAGGAGGCTAAATGAGCTTTTCCCTTTGGGCTACACACTGTTATAGTCTCTTGAAATCTGGGTCTTTGTTGTCTGTGTGTGCTGTAATTGAAAAGTTCCAGCCCTCCCTCCCCCTCCTCCTCTCCCACTGCCTCTCCAAGCCTCCTTTCTGCCTCCTTCCACACTCCTTTCTCTATCCTAGTTTCCCGGTCCGACATATACCACAACTTCCCTTCCACCAACCCCAACCAGCAGCTTCTCCTCTTTTTTCCTCCTTCAGCTTCGTTGCTTTCTCCGTCTCTATTTGGATTCTCTGTCATCTCTCGTTTGACTCATTCTCTCCCCCCTCCTCGCCCTCCTCGGCCCCCCTGCTGAGCTTTAGGATGAATGCAGCCGATTTTGATCATTTGCGCCTCAGCCATCCACCGAGCCGAGCTCCTCCAGCAGGCGAGGAGAGAGAGAGAGAGAAAAAAAAAAAAAGGGCGGAGAGGCTCAGAATTGTCCAGGAAGATGATGTGAAAGGGCTTGACGTGCAGTGGTGTTAATACGCCTGAAAACAAATGCCTCCAGCCTGGTAATATGTGATGTGCCAAAGTAATCACGAGTCAGGAATGACATTGTGATTTCTTCCTGCATTAGGAGGCGAAGAAAGGTTTCAAATGCACCTTACATGACATGAAGGCTTCTGGCGGGAAGCTCTTATGTGTGCATGTGAAGCTCCACATCATCCGGCTAATTCTGCCGAGGCGTAGCCGAAGAGTTCTGCGTACTTCTCTCTGTTTCAATAGATAACACTCTGCAGCCTCCCGTCTGACTAGAAAAAACAAAAAAGAGAGAAACATTTTACTGAGTAATTACTTCTTCTGCACCTTTTATTGTGAAAGACTGAATTGTAGTTGATGAGCACAGTGCGAGGCGGATCATGGACACACAGTGTGCTGCGCCGCTCATTGTTCTTTGAAAGTCTCTCCAAAGTGGAATGGCGATGTAACTTGGCAGGTGGTGAATGTGAAAGTGCAAACAAAATGGAATGGATGATGATGAGGTCCCGGCTTTGCTAATTCCATTTAACTCCGGAGTGAAGACAGCGATTGGACCGAAACCTCTCCAGTGTGAGTAATTGGAAAGGCATTGCAGAAAAGATGTTTGGAAACAAAACAGCAAGTACCTCCTAAACCAGCACCACCAGCACGCTTTCATGGGGACGTGAGGGGGCCCAGGCGCCATTAGCGATCGTCTCAGCGCATTAAACATGATCTCAACGTCGAGATTTATTATTATAAATGAATCCAGGTTTGATTAGCTCGCCTGCGCTGCCGTTTGACTTTCAGCTAAGCAGTCTGTCAGTCGTGTTATATCTCTTACTGTAAGCCGAGGCAGTAAACAACAAAATGAAAAGTGCAGATGCAAGAGGAAGTGTGCCATTTCCTGACATGCCCAGTGTCTACCTGGTCAAGCGCTCCTCTCCTCTCTTGGTTATTCAGGTCAGGGAACATACATGTCCGAGGCTTTGTCAAAAGCTTTGGCTTCTGTGGCCCAGCTGCTATTTTTGCTTCTTCCCCATACATGCCCTTTCATTCTTGAGTCACACTGGAGCATTGCGGGGCTGACCTAGAATACTGAAAGCCTGTCGCACAACAGGACGTGAACATCTGTGCAGAGAAAAGGTAACTAAACTGTAACGCCATTCAGGAAGTAAAAGTGCGTCTCATGCCGGCTGAATAACCTCCTGATGGCAGCGCTAATGAATGCACTTGAAGATGATTGGTGCCTTTGAACATTGCGCATATATGCAAAAGTACACTTCATTTCCTTGTTAGATAATTATGTGAGTGCTTGAGTTCAATCTGTTGCTCGTGAACACCCTAATAAAGTGGTGGCACTTTTCCACAAGACCTTATTTTTTCAGCATATGCTTCTTAGGTTTAAAAAAAAAAAAAAAAAAGAACCTGCTAAGCTGCATATGTTATTCAACTTACTTCAGAGGTAATGTGCTTATTTACATATGACACTGAGTTCCTGTTGGCTTGTGGGTAAATATTCAGAACTTCTATTGCCTTCAGCTTTTTTTTTTTAGTGTGAATTTTTACCTTTTTGTCGGGCTAAATATGTGGAGTTTTCCAAGGAAAGCACAGTTTCTTAAAAATGTCTGCCTGTTAAATATGAAGCTGCACGTAGCTTAGCTTAGCTTAGCATAAAGACTGGAAACTGGGAAAAAAGCTAGCCTGTGTTTGTGCAAAGATAACCAAAGAAATCTGCATTACCAGCAAAAGAAAATCACTAAAGTTACATACTTTCGTCCAAAACGAAAACCAAAATGTTAAAATGCTAGGGGCCGTATGAAACTGTTTTTCAATTTCGCAGTATGCTAGGGCGGGCTTAGCCGGGTTCTAGTTTCGAAAAGCTAAAGAAAACATTGCGGAGGCTAATGTCAAGCATCCTCTTATGCTTCAAACATTCTGGAGAAGCTAACAATGTAAATGTGAAGGATTTTCCCAGAGATGACCAAGGCCTGATGGTCGGAAAGAACCGGATTCACTCGTATAACTCCGCTGCAAATCTAGCGATAACACATAATTTGATTAATCCTAAAGGAAATTCTCGTTCCAGATGTTGCTCAGATAAAATATAGCAGCTTTAAAAATAAATGCAATGTCTAATAGAACAGCAATAAGTACAATACATTAGCAAAAATACAACTAGAATAGAAAACTAATACAATATTGGGCATGGAATTCAAATATTTCACACAATATTGAATCTGATATTGCACATACCACCTAGAGAGCCACTGATG